ATAATTTTGCACTCCTTTCTGTATTCTGAAAAGGAGTGAGATGTTATATGGGAAAAATTGAGGGATTATTTGTTCAGTGCATGAACAATGAATGATCCACTTTATTTTTGTTTACTACTTAAAACTTTTATTAACAGAAAAAAATCAAATTGTGAACTTTCATTACAAATTAAAAATGAGGTTCTTAAAGATCTCAACTTGACCAGACATGAAACAATTTAAAAACTTTTAAAGTTGTATTGAGAAATACCAGGCTTTAAAAAAAAATGTTTATCATCAGAAAGAAACATCTTTAGGTAAAATAATAAAAACCCCAAGCTGCAGAGATAATGCAGATAGTTCTAGTTATCTGACCAGTGGGCAAAAAGCAGGCGCTTGAGGTCTTCGGTTCCAGTCTTCTGTTCATTTCTTATCGCTGGGATTTCCTGTGCATTTCTTCTTGCAGGATGATGGGAGAGATGTTAAGCATTATTTACTCAGCCCCACCCTGCTCAGCCTCTGGAGCAAAGGAATTCTTTTTTTTTTTTTTTAATTTTTTTTTATTTTAGGGAAGGGTCTACAGGGTGTTCAGGGTCTCACCACTAGATCAGACTCATAGAGATCCACCTGTTTACAGCCTCCCAAGAGCTGCGATTACAGGTATATACCAGCACGCCCAGTCTCAATTGCCATCTCAGCACACTCTGGGGGTGGGGCCAGCAAGGTAGGCCCGGGAATTGAACCCCCAGCCCCTGTGCCTGCTTTAAGATGCTGAGCTATTTGGCCTGCCCTTGGAGCAAAGGAATTCTCAGCTGGTGGATTGGCTGCTTTTGCCCTTTTGCCATCTTGTGGCTTAGGGCTTTCTGGGCATGTGTGTCAGTAATTGAAGTTGCAAGGGTACCAATGTTGAGGTGGCTGGGGACCCGGGGTCTCCTCTCCTTGATTGTCCTTATTCCTTCATTGCTGTCCTCTAGGCTTTTTTGATGAGCAGGGCCCCTGTGGACCCGTGATCTATGAACCCAATATACACTGTCTCACTTGTGCAGCTTGTTCTCCTGCACCCTGGCTGTCAGCAGCCTCCATCACTTCCCCTTGCACAGGAAGGCTGGAGTACTGTGGGCGATGCTCAGCGTCTTCCATGTAGTAAGGATCCCTCATTCTTTCCCCTACTCTCACTGTTCCAGTAATTCTGCTGGTAATTGCGCACAGGACCCCTCCGACATGGATACCCTCCAACACGGATAGCACTATCGTGGTTAGTGTCTGCTGCATATTCACTGCCTTGAGCTGGAGCTCCACTGGGGATGGAACATTTGCTGCCTCTGTACCCTTTTCTCTTTCAACAACATCAACGTCCACAGTCTTTCCATCTCCTGCACTGCGAAGGTCCTTCCTGGGTTATGCTTCTGTATGGAAGTCTCGTGTACAAATATATCTTCCTTGGCATCATTCCTGTTGATGAAACCATATCTGTTTCTTGCACTGAACCATTTTACTGTTCTCAAACCTTCCTTGCGATGACCTTCTTGTGCCCACCAGCATTTGCTGCCGATATGAGGCCGCCTGGGCCACCACTCCCCGCATTGATGCCCCTGGTGCTGGGCTTGGTGTCAGTAGCACTGAGAACTGGGGTGGCTGCTGGGTCTCGGACTTGCTGCTCATGGTTGGGGTGATGGTGGTGATGTGGAGTGGGGCTGGCTGCAGCAGCTGCAGCTCTTCCCAAATGATTCACTTTAAGTGTTTTAGAAATCATTAGACTTGGGGCTGGTGAGATAACTCAGCAGATAAAGCATCTGCTTTGGCAAGCACAGGCACCAGGGTTTGATCCTGGGTCCCACATGCCGTGTCAGCCCAGCCCCTGCCGAGCCAATGACAGAGTCTGGGTGTGGTGGTGCAAGCCTGTAATCCCAGCACTGGGGAGGCTGAAAACAGGAGGATCACCATGAGTCCCATCTGCATAGTGAGACCTGTACCAAATACACAAATGAAAAAGTAAAAAAAGAAATCATCCAATTTGATCTCTGCCTATTTATTAAAGGCTAACATTGATAGCAGATTTTTTCTTTGACTCCAGATGTCCCAGACACCTTCCTTGTGACTGTGGAAGGCAGTTGGCCTGCACACCTCACCTCACCTCACCTTGCATCCCTCATAGTCTCCTGTGGTCAGGGCACGCATGGCCAAATGGAAAGAGCAGAAATGTGGTGTCTCTGAACAGCGCCTCTTACCTTTGCTTGTGATAATGGGGACTTACTGATTCATCAAAGCCCCTATCTGTCCACGTGGTGCTCCGTGACCCCACAGGGGGAGGCTCTGGCAGATGGATGGGGACAGCCAGGGGCCGGGAGGGGGACAGTGCTCAAGGCTTGCATGTGGGACACCTGACTTCTTTCTGCTTTACCTGGCAGGATTCATTACACACCTAAACAACAGAAGAGTACTTTCCTGGTAGAGAATAACCCACTTCCTTCTTTGTTGAGAATGCTGGTCAGTGACTGCACATAAGATGGGAGAAATCACTGTAAGGAAGATAATGAAATGTATCTCAGGGGAAAGGAAACATGGCAAGCCAGGAGATCCCAAGAGGGGTCGTTGTCCATAGACAGGTTTGTTCCTAGCAGCAGAATATGCGTCTCCTTCCCCTGTAGGATGGAGACCTTTTCCTGCAGGCCTGTCCTGCTCTATACATGGACTCCTGCCTTTCTTTCATTCTTTTGTGTTAAATTTCTTTAACTTCATTTAAGAGTAAATTTCACAAATAAAACACTAACATCTACACACCTAGGAGCTGGAGGTGAGGGTAGACGTGGAGGTTTTTATGTGGAATAATCTCCCCTGCGGCACACATGCACCATGGTTTGCTTCTCCCATTATCCAGGTTAGAGGCACAAGGGCCTCGTAGATGATAACCCAAAGCCCAAAGAAATTAAGGAACCTGTAGAGACTATTTGAAATTATGTGACAGAACTAGAATTGGAAAAGAAGGAACTTGGTTCCCCATATTTTT